TTAGCTGAGTACTTAGCACAATTCAATAATCTTCCATACCCGGCACTCCTTCGGTTTTTGGTGAGACCACATCACGAATTCCTTCCTACTAACTTTCCCTTCTAAATGAAGAAAAATCTCACAATTTGTCTCAAAGGTATTTTTCGAAACCAAGTTTTTATTCATATAATTTATTATAATCTTTTCCTTCTTCTACTGTTCACTATCCGTATTCCTATTCATTCTTTTACTTTTTCTTCATCATCTTAATAATATAGTTATTTCAGCTCACCAAATATAGATTGGTCTAAAACCCAACATCGTGCAAGATATGGAGACGTCAACTCTAAGACGAAGATATGAAAGTTGATAGAAATTGCCGGAACAAATAGCGTCGCCTATAGGAAAATCGAGAAAGAAAAAAGAGACATGGGGAGAGGTGAAAATCACTATGTGAGAGGAAGAGCCTTGTCTTAACTTGGGTTTGGTGTGTGCTCTAATATGTAAATTTACTTATAAGTATTGCTTGCACACGGCGTATATGCCTCCACAAACATACATCTACATCGCAGGATCAACGCTAGTTGTTTTAGCAAAGGAGGCAGCTCAAAACATTCGCTCCCATTTTAACGCAAAAATTTCACTCGTCTGTATGTATGCTTTTATTACAATCGCAAAGTTGGTTATAAGAAATTAGCTGACCAACTAACTTAGCTTCATGTTTTTGGGCTCAGCACGGATTCATGTGAGCCTCAGATATGTGATCCAAAGACTTTTTTGTACAAATCAAAGTCCGAGGCATTTCTTTTCCAGGGTCCGATGATGAGAATGTAAGCAATCCTTTTCACCTGACTTTTTAGACTGAATGAATGTTACGCTAAAATCAATCTTTCAAGAAATTCTTCGAAACCCAGCATCTCTTAATATTAAAAAATTCAAATATGCCTAAAACATTTATGTATCGACAAACAACATTGTTTTCTGGACCACATAACTTGATGGACTGCTTATTTTGATGCTGATAATGGTCGTGTCTGGTAAATGACCAAAATGGTAGTGCCAATCTTTGAAACTGAGTTTTCCTACAATTTGCCATTTGACTGCGTTGAGTCTCTTGGGTGAAGCCGAATTTTTTTTTTTTAATTTCTGCTTTAAATAATGTCGTAATCTTTGCACTATACACAAGTGCATCTTCACTTGCTCCATTCAACTATTGTAGACTTTTATGCACTTCTTCAGGTCTCCCTAAGCCTACAAAGTTGATCGTCTTACGTGCCCTGGTTCGGTTTACCGCTCATGTCTCTGACCGAGCCAAGGCTTCGCTATCCTCCCTCGTCTGGTCTGCCACCTTCGCCACCTTCGGCGCGGTTACTAGTCGCCGCCGCTGCGGCAGCTGCCGCCGCCTTCTCGTCAGTCTCATCTACAGCCAGTAAGTCTACCGAAGCCTCAGAGACCGGAGGTCCGACGAATTTTGCCACCTCCACCGTCGTCGGAGAGACATCGAGTTGTGGTCTGAGACTTGGTCAAAGGATGGTAGCACCGGACAACAGCGCTTGCATGCCCGGCTGCCCAGAGACGGGCGCAGGTCAAAAAGAGCCGGAGCCAGGGTCAGTGGTGGAGCCAGGAGTAGAGATGGAGTCGGAGACAATACGACCGGTTTCGGTGACCGCCGTTTTGGAGGCTCCAGACGCTCTCGAGACAAGTTTCGGCGACAGTATGCGCCGGCGCACAAGTCAGTCTAGAGATGGCAAACGAGCCGCATCCGTCCTCAGCCTGGCCAACGAACCTTTGGCCGGTCGAGTGGCCAGTCTGCCCAAATTTGAGAGGCGCGAGTGCCCAGCTTCGACTCCGCGATTCCGGGTACAGTAAACACGAATTGCAATGTTGGCATTATACGAAATAAAATTGGATTTTAACCATTCTCTGGGGCTATACTGGTTGAGCACACTTTCATTTGGAGGATAAGTAAGTGATATTGGAAATTCCAAGTTGGATCGCAGCAAAAGGCTACAACGAATTGCTGTTAACAAGATTATTTTTGTTGACACGGTACTCGTAGTGAAAACGTTTCAAGCTTTATGTTTATAAGTAGGTTTTAGAGACTACCGGTAGATTATTTATATGAGATGTATTTAACCTATAAGGTTAAGGTGGTGAAGGACTAATAATTTACTTTTCCCACAAAAATATGAGTAAGCCTTCCGTTTCAATGCAATTCCACTTGGTCTTGTTTCACAAAAGGTTTTTTTCCGGCTGGAGTGAATTGCAGTTTCGACCTAGCTAGGTCTCTCCAGCGCTGCCGGAGGAACTCGAACCTTGTATTGCAGAGTATATTCACAACACGTTAAAAAATATACCACAATGTCAGGTGTGAAGTTCAAGGAGGGCCAGACAGTGTGGCGTAGTGATTAATGTGCCGAGATTATACGCTGCACTGCCCTAGACTGAGTTTGAGTCCCGCCAGGAGTGCTGAGATTAAAACTTTAGTCTACCCTTGGATGAAAATATCTTTTGGAAAGAAAAGCTATATGAAATTAACTGGAAACAGTGCTTATTCATGTGATTATGGGAAAATTCAATTACCAGTCTTTCACCTTAACGAAAAAGTGTGAATATATAGCAAAAACCAATTCAAGTTAGCTAAAACTCTTTTTCAAGGATTACTGATAGTTTATATATCTACTCTAAACGAATATAAGTAACTGAGTGGAATGTAATGGTTTAAGACAAGTTTCATGTTGGTATTCCTTCTATTTCGTTTGAAGAAGTGAGTAAAGAAAGAATTCGTAAATTTGATATTGTTACAACTACCCTGTGAAATCCTGGCATCTGTGGCCTCGATACTAAAGACCCGGTATCAAATTCGGCTCGAAACTACAGTCAAGTCTAGCTTAGAGGAAATAATCTTTAGTTAAATGAGGCTGAATGAAATTCTCTTATATCTTGAGGCCTATCAGCTAATTGTGGAAAAACTTATCTGTCACTTCCCAACCTATTCTTCAAAACTACATATATCAAAAGCAAAAATAAAAATAGCTAAGTTGCCTCCTTTTTCCAAGCGGCCAACAACTTATCTATCATTAATCCTACAAATTTGGCATAAGTAGTCGTTATATGAGGGGTATACACCGAAAACCTGATGATAAACGAAAAATAAGAAGTCGTTTCCTAAACTTCTTACCTATGTTCCTGGTATTTAATGTAATGCCTCATACCATAATCAGCAAAACTACTAATTAGCGACCAATCTCTACCATATTCCGCTTCTGACATGTGTTCAGCTACCTTTAATTGTTGAATCCAACCATCTATACAGGCACTGTTGTATTCAGCCACCCCTTGTCGAATAGGTGGACCAGTCCTTCCGACATAAAAGCCACGGCAGGAACACATTATTTTATAGTGGACTGGGTCAGCTTTCTAACTAAAAGTGGGCATACCTTTAGAAGTGTCATAGTTCTTAGAAAACCGTTTTTATTATCCATATTCTTTACAATTGGTTTATGCTCTTTAAAGACAAAGTCAGGATACGAGCAACTGTTTCTCTTTCCTCCTTTCTCCTTACATTAGCTTGGTCCAAATATGCAATCCTCACTAATCTGGTGCTGTTCTCAATCAAGCATAAAGGAAAATTATTTTCACATAAAATATATTATCGAGGCCACAAAGGTCAGAGTTTCACAGGACAAATGTAACATTCTCCAAAAGGCACGTCATTCTGAACTTCATATCTTTGATTAAAATGTATTTCAGCCTATCTAGCTCATTATCCCAAAGCTCTCTATCGGTTAATATTGTACTCCGAATATAAATTTAATTAAATCAATACTTATCTGTGCTTTGTTACTATGGTTGAAGAAGAAGTCGAGGATGAAGTGGGGTATGCAGGGTTCTCATATACATTCCTGCCCAACTTGAGCTTAGACCAGAAATGCCAAACATCTATTTATGGTAAACCATTATTGTTTTCTATTCCTATTCTCAACATTCTATTACTCTAAAAATGTTTTTATTCTGTTTTTGCCATTTTGAATTTTTGTCTATACAAACATCTTTTTGCAACGTTCTATGATAATAACCCGATTCGCATTCGTTTGGGTTTCACAAATCTATAGCCAGATGCTGAAAATTATCATCTTTACTAGTTTTGATGTGAGTAGTTTTCGAGATTATTCTAAATCATCAATAGAGTGACAGAGGATTTTGGACAAGAGGTCTTCGTCTAAGTCATCCTAAAAATACGACCAAATTGTGGAAACATGATTAAACCACTTTTATAGAGCGAAAATACAAGCATAATCAAAATACAAATGAAATAATCAACAATACTCACTGTGATCAAACTAGAGTCCACAACATCTTGGTCTTTATATCTACGATTAATATTACTATGCCGCTGGTTAATCAATAGCAATGAAATAGTTTATACATTCTTACCAGGCTGCCAGATTGCAATAATCATTCATATAACCAAATGACATTCATTCTGTCTAGCTTACTTCTTCCATGAAGTGTTTCGTCCTTGTGATCTAATTACTGGCAGAAATACAAACTAAGCATGATCCTATTGCAATTCTTTGCACCTTATTTGTAAAAATGATACCCTTTTCTGTCAAAAAGCAGGACAGACGAAAGCTAAGCACTTTTTTTCTCGGAATCGTGGACAGTGCCAATTATAATGCCTTAGTAATGCCAACTGAAAGCTGGCCAAAAGTAATACATTGTAGTCCACTGGTCTAATTAATCTTCAAATCTAGATTTCACATACTTTCACTCGAAATAGAAATGGGCTTGACAATGGCTTGCATCAAAAGTGTAATATGTCAAGGGTTCCGGCCTATCCAATTACTTGGAGAGATTCCGACGAGGGGACCACCAGTCTCCGTCCCCTTTCTGAAACACGCCCGTAGAATGTGAATAGGCTGGCTTTGGTCACGGTAAATGGGCTTGTCCGTTCTCAACTAACCTGATTCTCTGAGAAGTAGAATGCAATCAATGGCAAAAAAAGAAGTATTCTGAATAAATGCATATTTGTCATTTACTCTCTCCAAAAGGAAGGCGCGAACTTCACATTTGTTTTTATAATGACTGTGTTTCCCTTGCACCAGTAGATCTTAAATAAGAACTTTTATTCATCCAAGTGTACATGAGGTGATCATTAAATTGTATAAAATTTCAGTTGGTTATGCCTTTCTTGAATAAGTTTTCGTTTATAATTAGGTTTCTAGATTATTAATTATTCCTGACTAAAAACTTAGCCACTCCAGATCGGGTAGGATATATTAAGAAATGATGGATGCATTTTTTCACAATGAGATGGGTATACCTCACGATGTCATTAAAGTTCACCTAGTTTTGTCTCCCAAAATGCCATCTCATCTATGGTGAATTGCAATTTATACCTCGTCTAGATTTCATCAGCCTCCGCAGCGAATTCGCTACCCGGTTATGAATTATTTGGCTATATTACCATGCCACTACACTACATGGCCATGGGTACCAATGAGTCGCAGGGAAGATGCAAAAATCAAAACAAACCAGGC